AAGAGTGAAACTCTGTCTCAAAAAAAAAAAAAAAAAAAGTTAAAAAATGATGCAAACGGGCGCGGTGCCTCACGCCTGTAATCCCAGCATTTTGGGAGGCCGAGGCGGGCGGATCACGAGGTCAAAATATCGAGACCATCCTGGCCAACATGGTGAAACCCCGTCTCTACTAAAAAAATACAAGAATCGGGCCGGGCGCGGTGGCTCAAGCCTGTAATCCCAGCACTTTGGGAGGCCGAAGCGGGTGGATCACGAGGTCAAGAGATCGAGACCGTCCTGGTCAACATGGTGAAACCCCGTCTCTACTAAAACTACAAAAAATTAGCTGGGCATGGTGGCGCGTGCCTGTAGTCCCAGCTACTCAGGAGGCTGAGGCAGGAAAATTGCTTGAACCGACGAGGCGGAGGTTGCAGTGAGCCGAGATTGCGCCACTGCACTCCAGCCTGGAGCCTGGTGACCGAGCAAGACTCTGTCTCCAAAAAAAAAAAAAAAAAAAAAAAAACCACCAAAAGCAAATTGAAGGTTACATCCAGGAAACGAGTAGGGGATGAGATGGGAAAAGGATCTACAGAGCTTCGACTGTGACAAAATGTAAGAACTGAAAAAGTTGACTGGTGAAGATACGCTGATTTTTTCATAGCATTTCTTTGCATCTGTTACTGTAAAAATCAAATGAAAACAAAATATAGACCAAAGCGCCTGTCTCCTTCAAGAAAGGAGCGACAGGCTATATCTGAGAGGGTGATCGTGCAGAATATTCGGACTCTGCCTCATTCGCTCAGTTACCTCCTTGGTCCCTGTATACCCTTGAGTTTGCGATGCAACATATTTAACCACTCGATGTGATTCCAAGTCAACCATTTAACCACCTGAGCACAAAATTTCAGCAGGCAGTTTCTTCCCCTGTGAGAAGGAAATGACAGCTTCGACTTTATGGATTGGCTTGCGAACATCCAATAACTCGTGTAAAACTTTTGTAAAACGTTAACTGTGCCAGACACATGCTGGTTTATAGGGGTATCAGCTCATTCCTGGATCCAGCCTTTATTTCCACGGATCTAGGGAGTCATTTCACAGGGTAAAATATGCCCCTCGAACCAAGGAGCTCATCCTAGGCGCCAAGCCTGATTCTGATACAAAACATCTGAGGAGGGACGCGGCGGCCCCAGCCTGGTGCGCATGCGCAACTGTAAAAGCCGCTAGGTCTGTCCCTGGCGCCCGATTAGAATATTTCATTCCAGTTGGAGCGTTTTTTCCTCACCCTTAATATATTTCTGGTACATGCCCACAGATTTTAATTTCTGAGAGGCACAAATTCCTCTCAGACGCATTCAAATTGACCGAGTAGTCTTATAAGGTGCCTTTTGCCTCACTGTAAATCCTCAGTAAAGTTTGCAGTTTAGGATGTGACGTAATTTTTACGTAAAACTAACAACTTATTCCACCTGAAAGGAACCACGACGGGAGTAGAAATCCGAGTTTCATTTCATCCGGGCACTTCAGTAGTTACCTCTTATTTGGGGGAGGTGCCGCGTGTGGACCCGATGGACCCCGGCGACGCCGCCATTTTGGAGTTTTCCCTCAGGATCCTCTACCGGCTTTTCTAGTCACTGCTGCCGCCGTTGCCCGCGGCCTTGCAGGGCAGGATGAATGTGATAGACCACGTGCGGGACATGGCGGCCGCGGGGCTGCACTCCAACGTGCGGCTCCTCAGCAGCTTGTTACTTACAATGAGTAATAACAACCCGTGAGTTGAGGCGGGGAGCGGCCTGGGGCTGAGGAGAAAGCGGCGGCGGTCTGGGAGCGCGGGCTGAGGGCGCGTGGGAACAGGCGGGAAGGAGCGGCCGCCGGCGCCAGCGGAGGCGCCAGGGTCAGCGAGGGCCTCGTGGAGCGGAGCCGACTTCGGAGCGCAAGTTGAGTTCATTGGGTGCCGGCGTTTGTGCAGGGCCCCGGCGTCAGCTCTCCGCGGGGATGTTGGCGAGCGGCAGCTTTGAGAAATGGAAGGTGGAGGCTCTGAGGACGACCCTGGCGAGGGTTTCCTGAGGCACCTGTCGCGGGGAGCGCGACTGTCAAATCGCTAGGCTGAATCCTCCCCTCTTGGCTCCTTCCCGAAGAACGTTTTTTCTCGTTGCAGCTCAGGGACCCAGCCTCCTGGTGTTGATGTCCTAGCCCCGCATCTGATGTTGGTACTCCCCGTTAAGTGTATCAGGAGGATCCACTTTCTCGCCTTGGGAAAGCCCTGAAAACGGGGCTTGGTGCGGTGGCTCACGCCTCTAACCCCAGTACTTTGGGGGGCCGAGGCGGGAGGATCGCTTGAGCCCAGGAGTTGAAGACCAGCCTGGGCAACATAGGGAGACCCTGCCTCTACGAAAATAAAAATTAAGCAGTTAGCCGGATGTGGTGCACGTCTGCGGTCCCAGCCATTCGGGAGTCTGAGGCAGGAGGATCGCTAGAGCCCAGGAAGTCGAGGCTGCAGTGAACTGTGATGGCATCCCTGCCCTCTAGCGTGGGGAACACAACGACAGCCTGTCTTAATAAAAGGAAACAGGGCTGGGCGCGGGGGGGGCTTACTCCTGTAATCCCAGCATTTTGGGAGGCCGAGAATCATGAGGTCAGGAATTCGAGACCAGCCTGGCCAACATGGTGAAAACCATCTCTACTAAAAAAATACAAAAATTAGCCAGGTGTGGTGGCGGGCACCTGTAATCCCACCTGCTCGGGAGGCTGAGGCAGGAGAATCGCTTTAACCCAGGAGGCGGAGTTTGCAGTGAGCCAGGATAGTGCCACTGCACTCCAGCCTGGACGACAAGAGCAAGATTTGTGCCAAAATAAAAAAAAGAAACAAAGTGATGGGAGACTCCTTTGATGGGTGGGCGTGGCACCTTTCTTGTATCCATGAAGCACGGGGCTGATGCCAGCCTCTGCGTTTCCATCTTCTGCTTAAAATCCTTTATTACACACATGAAAATTCTTTCCCGTGACCTCTGAAGGCAAACATCTGCCCTCTGGGACTTCATCTCATTACTCTGTTCACTGTTCTCCAGCCTCCCTGGCTATTCTATTTTGTTTTTATTTATTTTTAGTTTTTTAGATGGATTCTCAATCTGTTGCCCAGGTTGGAGTGCAGTGAGGCGATCTCAGCTTACTGCAGCCTCTGCCTCCTTGGTTCAAGTGATTCTCCTGCGTCAGCCTCCGGAGTAGCTGGGACTACAGGCCAGTGCCACCACGCCCAGCTCGTTTTTGTAATTTTAGTAGAGATGGGGTTTCTCCATGTTGGTCAGGCTGGTCTCAAACTCCTGACCTCAAGTGAGCCGCCCACTTTGGCCTCCCAAAGTGCTTGCATTACAGGCGTGAGCCACCGAGCCTGGCCTCATTAGTGTGTTTTGTACCTCATTAGTGAGACCCATCATTTTGCCACCATCCACTTTGTGTTGACGGGAGCCCTGGTCTCAGTCAGCCTTCTGTGTTTATTCCGGAGCCTTCCGCTTGGTTGTGAGTGATTAGTCAAAGCATACAGTTGCCATGTTACTCTTATTACGTCCGAGTTACTCTTAGTTCTCAAAGATGTCACAGGATAGTTTGAAACAGTTTAATTCTCTGGCTAGACTAAGATTAGCCCATGCTTTTTCATATTAGGTTAGATTGGCAGTTTCCTAGTTTCAGGACATGTTTAAGTTCTGACCTTCATAATTTATACTTTAAAATTTCTTGTGGAATAGGCAGTAGACACTTAAATTCAAACAGTGGAGAAGGGGCATGCAGATCAGAATCTTTCCCTGAGTCTTGAGTCTTGAACCTCACCCCACCATATCCTTTCTCCAGAGGCAATAACTTTTTTTGTTTTTTTGAGGCAGAGTCTCGCTGTGTCACCAGGCGCCAGGCTGGAATGCAGTGGCGTGATCTCACTGCAACCTCCGCCTCCCAGGTTCAAGCAGTTCTTCTGCCTCAGCCTCCCGAGTAGCTGGGACTACAGGCGTGTACCACCACGCCCACCTAATTTTTGTATTTTTTAGTAGAGACAGGGTTTCACCATGGTCTCAATCTGTTGACCTTGTGATTCACCTGCCTCAGCCTCCCAAAGTGCTGGGATTACAGACGTGCACCACCATGCCTGGCCAGTGCCTGTATTTTTTTTAAGAGACAGGATTTCACTGTGTTGACCAGACTCTAGGCTCAAGCAGTGTTCCCACCTCAGCGTCCTGAAGTGTTAGGGGTCACAGGTGTGAGCCACTGTGCCTAGCTTGTGGAGAAATTAACTGTCTACAGAATTATTGGACTCACTCCATTCTTTCATTATAAGCAGCTATAGTTTTTACTTGTCAAAGAAAAACAGTAAACTTCAGCCAGGTGCGATGGCTCACACCTATAATCTCAGAACTTTGGGAGGCCGAAGCAGGTGGATCATGAGGTCAAGAGAAATTAGCCAGCTGTGGTGGCACACACCTATATTTGCAGCTACTTGGGAGGCTGAGGCAGGGGAATTGCTTGAACCCCGGAGGCGGAGGTTGTAGTGAGCCAAGATCATGCCACTGCAACCCAGCCCGGGGAACAGAGAAAAACCCCTCTAAAAAAAAAAAAAAAAAAAAAAAAGCAGTAAACTGCTTTCTCTTATTTGGGAAGGAATGAGATTGGAATTGAAAATATGAGTTCCACATTAGGAATGGTGACCAACTTCTAGTCACTTACAATTCTTGACTAAATACTCAAGTTTTAAAACATTGGTTCAGGCCGGGCACGGTGGCTCATGCCTGTAATCCTAGCACTTAGGGAGGCCAAGATGGGCAGATTGCCTGAGCTCAGGAGTTTGAGACCAGCCTGGGCAACATGGTGAAATCCTGTCTCTACTAAATACAAAAAAATCAGCTAGGCATTGTGGCGGGTGCCTGTAATCCCAGCTACCCAGGAGGCTGAAGCACGAGAATCGCTTGAATCTGGGAGGCAGAGGTTGCAGTGAGCCAAGACCATGCCACTGTGCCCCAGCCCAGCCTGGGCAACAAAGTGAAACTCAGTCTCAAAAAAAAAAATTGGTTCCTTTACACTGTCCTTAAATCCCTGAGACTCAAGGAGATAAGAATTCTTCTAGTGCTAGTGAAATTTACTTTTGTTTTTTTGAGACAGGGTTTTACTCCCCGTTGCCCAGGCTGGCGTGCAATGGCGAGATCTCAACCCACTGCAACTTCTGCCTCCTGGGCTGAAGCGATTATCCTGACTCAGCCTGCTAAGTAGCTGGGACTACAGGTGCATACCATCACACCCAGCTAATTTTTGCATTTTCTTTTTTTTTTTTTGCGATGGAGTTTCACTCATCACCCAGGCTGAAGTGCAGTGGCACAATCTCGACTCACTGCAACCTCCACCTCCCGGATTTAAGTGATTCTCCTGCCTCAGCTTCCCAAGTAGCTGGGATTATAGGCATGAGCCACCATGCCTGGCTAATTTTTGTGTTTTTAGTAGAGATGGTGTTTCACCCTGTTGGCCAGTCTGGTCTCAAACTCCCAACCTTCAGTGATCCTCCTGCCTTGGCCTTCCAAAATGCTGGGATTACAGGGTCGAGCCACCGAGCGTAGCCTAAATAAACTTTTATCAAGGTTAACCCTCTTGCTATCCCATTGGCTTTCCCATTCTCTCTCTCTCTCTTTTTTTTTTTTTGACACAGAGTTTCGCTCTTGTTGCCCAGGCTGGAGTGCAATGGCACGCACGATCTTGGCTTACTGCACCCTCCGTCTCCCAAGTTCAAGCAGTTCTCCTGCCTCAGCCTCCCGAGTAGCTGGGATGATAGCATGTGCCACCACGCCCAGCTAATTTTGTATTTTTAGTAGAGATGGGGTTTCACCAAGTTGGTCAGGCTAGTCTCGATCTGACCTCAGCTTCCCAAAATGCTGGGATTACAGGCATGCGCCACTGCTCCCGCCCTCCCATTCTTTTTTTATAGTGGTATTTTCTTTAGTGTTTGAAGAGCTTTCAGGTTCTTTCAAAACTTCTTTCTGTGTAGCCTCTTCCTAAAAAGGATTCAAAGTGGTAAGGTTTCTCAGTTCTTGATATGAGAGTGTAGATGGATATATATCAAACTTTTAAAAGGGCTTGGTAGTCGGGTGTGGTGGCTCACACCTGTAATTCCAGTGCTTTGGGAGGCCGAGGCAGGCTGATCACTTGAGGTCTGGAGTTCAAGACCAGCCTGGCCAACATGGCAAAACCCTGTCTCTACTAAAAAAAAAAAAAATAGCCGGGCGTGGTGGTACATGCCTGTAATCTCAGCTACTCAGGAGGCTGAGGCAGGAGAACAACTTGAACTTGTGGGGTGGGGGTTGCAGTGAGTCAGGATTGTGCCACTGCACTCCAGTCTGGGTGACAGAGTAAGACTGTTTCAAAAAAAAAAAAAAGCAGCAGAGGGCTTGGATTGAAGGGGAAGAAAAGATGTATTACATTTTCTCTGTGTACCTCCTACTGCATTTGATTCATAGGTATCATTGCTTTTATGTTAAGTAAAGAAAAATTGTGTTGAATAATAGATGTGTTTATCATATTAGTATAGAGTTCAGCTTCCACCTTTCATGCCTCTTTAGGGACTAGCACTTGAGGTACATTGACTCTTGTAAGCTGTCACTATACAAGGCTTTGTGCTAGGCTTATGTAGACACTAACAGTGTTCCTTCTAAAATTTCAAAATAACCCATGTAGGGGATATAATTTCTTTGTTTTCTAGTGAGTTATTCTCCCCATCTCAGAAGTACCAGCTTTTGGTGTATCATGCAGATTCTCTCTTTCATGATAAGGAATATCGGAATGCTGTGAGTAAGTATACCATGGCTTTACAGCAGAAAAAAGCCCTAAGTAAAACTTCAAAAGTGAGACCTTCAACTGGAAATTCTGCATCTACTCCGCAAAGTCAGGTAATTGAAGATAGGATTGTGTGATTGTTTTTTTTTTTTTTTTTTTTTTTTTGAGAACGTCTCAGAGAATTTAGAGCGGGGTCCTCAGGCCCCAGTATCTGGTCTCTTAGGAACCAGGCTGCACAGCAGGAGGAGGGTGAAGGGCTAGCAAGTATTACTGCCTGAGCTCTGCCTCCTGTTAGATCAGCTGTGGCATTAGATTCTCATAGGAACACAAACCCTATTGTAAACTAGGCATGCAAAGATCTAGCTTGTGTGTTCCTTATGATAATCTGACTAATGCCTGATGATCTGAGGTGGAACAGTTTCATCCTGAAACCATCCCCTTGCCACCCATCTGTGGAAAAATTGTCTTCCATGAGGCTGATCCCTGGTGCCAAAAAGGTTGGGGACCACTGATTTAGACGATAGCTGTTTAGATGTAGAAGATGAGACCAGGCACAGTGGCCCACACCTGTAGTCTGAGGTGGGAGGACTTGAGGTCAGGAGTTTGAGACTAGCCTCAGCAACATTTTGAGACCCCTGTCTCTACAAAAGTGGGCATGGTGGCACACACCTATAGTTGTCCAGCTACTCAGGAGGCCAAGGTAGGAGGATCACTTGAGACTAGGAGGTCAAGGCTGCGGTAAATCATGTTTGCACCATTGCACTGCAGTCTAGGCAACAGAGTGAGACCCTGTCTCAAAAAACAGTTGCTGGGACATATGATAACTATGTTTAATGTTTTGAAGAACTGTCACACTGTTGGAATAATGTTTCAAAAAGATGTTTTCATTGTCTCTTAGTGTCTTCCATCTGAAATTGAAGTGAAATACAAAATGGCTGAATGTTATACAATGCTAAAACAAGATAAAGATGCCATTGCTATACTTGATGGGATCCCTTCAAGACAAAGAACTCCCAAAGTAAGTTGAATGTTTATGTGTTTTTCTCCTCAGCCCTCCTAACCCTGCTCCCTCCACGTTTTCTCATATATATAGGAATCCATCTGAACATTTTACCCATGACTCTAATTCTCATTTTCTTCCTCTGTTCATGGAGTAGGGGTGGGGGTTCAGAGAAAGATGAATGACTTTTCTATGATACCCTGAAAATTCAGCTGATGAAAATGATAGCTGGAGAATACTACAAATGCTTATTCTTTTTTTATATATATTTAATATTTTTTGAGAAAGAGTCTCACTGTCACCCAGGCTAGAGTGCATTGGTATGATCCTGGCTCACTGCAACTTCAGCAGTGAGGCTTAAGCAATCCTCCTACCTCAGTCTGTTAAATAGCTGGTATTACAATTGTATACTGCCACACCCAGCTAATTTTTTTTTTTAATCTATTTTTTTGAGACAGAGTCTTGCTCTGTCACCCAGACTGGAGTGCAGTGGCACGATCTTGGCTCACTGCAACCTCCGCCTCCTGTATTCAAGTGATTCTCCTGCCTCAGCTTCCCAAGTAGCTGGGATTACAGGTGTGTACCAGCATGCCCAGCTAATTTTTGTATTTCTATTTAGTAGAGATGGAGTTTCACCATGTTGCCCAGGCTGGTCTTGAACACCTGACCTCGTGATCCTCCCACTTCAGCCTCCCAAAGTGCTGAGATTAGAGGTGTGAGCCACCACACCCAGCTGTGATGTTCTTAAATGAGGATCTGTTTTAAAAATAACTAACTCTTTTCTCTTTTCTCCCTCCCCTCCCCTGCCCTCCCCTCCTCTTCTTCCTTTCTTTCTTAGAGTCTCGCTCTATTGCTAGGCCTCCCCTCCCCTCTTTTCTTCTCTTCTTCCTTTCTTAGAGTCTCGCTCTATTGCTAGGCTGGAGTGCACCGGCACAATCTCGGCTCACCGTAACCTCCGCCTCCTGGGTTCAATCGATTCTCCTGCCTCGGCCTCCCAAGTAGCTGGGACTACAGGCGTGTGCCACTATGCCCAGATAATTTTTTTGTATTTTTAGTAGAGATGGGATTTCACCATATTGGCCAGGATGGTCTTAATCTACTGACATCATGATCTGCCCGCCTCAGCCTCTTAAAGTGCTGGGATTACAGGCATGAACAACTGCTCCCAGCCTGACTTTTTCATTAGGTATTACTCAAAACTCATTCTTTTAAAGTGACAGTCAAGTAGTTTAAAGGAAATGTTGATGATATTTGTTGAGACAGATGGTCTGTCAGTCATAGTTTGTTAATATAACCAGCAGTTGGCTGGGCACGGTGGCTCACACCTGTAATCCCAGCACTTTGGGAGGCCAAGGCGGGTGGATCACAAGGTCAGGAGTTTGAGACCAGCCTGACCAACATGGTGAAACCCCGTCTCTACTGCAAATACAAAAATTATCTGGGCATGGTGGCGCGTGCCCGTAATCCCAGCTACTCAGGAGGCTGAGGCAGGACAATCACTTGAACCCGGGAGGCAGAGGTTGCAGTGAGCTGAGATTATGCCACTGCACTCCAGCCTGGGCCACAGAGCAAGACTCCATCTCAAATATGTATGTACCTCCAGCAGTCAAGAAAGGATCCTAAATTTAACTTTTTATTCTTTACAAGTATTGACATCAATCCTGGAGTTCTCCTTTAAGAACTTTTCTTTGCATGGAAAACCTGAGGCCAAGTAAAAAGTAGTTTTATTTTTAGTATTTCATTATTCCATTGTTTGAATTATGGTATATTAGATTGTTTTATATAATGTAGCTCTATAATTGGAACAGATGTTCTTTATCTTCAGAGTCACTCTTGTAAATATCTGGCATACCAAGCCACAGATAATTGAAGAGATTGGGGTTGACTTTTTTTTCTTTTGTGACCTCACATTGACTGCTTTCTTAGTTAATAATCTAGCAAATACTGTCATGTTTAGAACCTACTAATTTTGCCAGGTGCAGTGGTTTACACCTGTAATCCCAGCACTTTAGGAGGCCTAGGCGGGCAGATCACCTGAGGTCAGGAGTTCAAGACCAGCCTAGCCAATATGGTGAAACCCTGTCTTTACTAAAAATCCAAAAAAAATTAGCTGGGCTTAGTAGCGCACGCCTGTAATCCCAGCTACTCAGGAGACTGAGGGAGGAAAATCTCTTGAACCTAGGAGGCAGAGGTTGCAGTGAGCTGAGATTGTGCCATTGCACTCCAGCCCAGGTGAAAAGAGCAAAATTCTGTCTCAAAAAAAAAAAAAATCTAATTTTAAAGTGGAATATTGTGTTTATCTCTGTACTACTAGGAAGGTCTTTTATCACTTTCCTGTAACTTCTGCATTCTTTGGAACTTTTAGATTTTCTCAGTTACATCTTAGTAGGATTATTTTTATTTAGCTTTACCAAGTTACATATTTAAATTATGCTAAAATGCAGCTGTCTGCATTCACTGGATTTAAATAGTATACCTGATTTTCATAGCATTACTTTAGTTAGTTAGTACCTGGGGGCCAAAGCCTTAAGTGTTAAAAGGCTAGAGTCTAGCCACAAGTCGAATTCTCAGAGAAAAGCCCAGTATTACACTGCTTTATCTGTCCTTCTGTATCATTTCCTTTTAGGGGAAAACTCATTTGATCCTTCTTAACTAGCTATGTCAAGAGTTTCTCACTTTGTTATGTGAGGTAGTTCATCTTCTGTTTTAAGTTCAAGAAAGAATCGAGTTAATTAGCATTCTCTACCTTTTTTTTTTTTTTGAGACAGAGTTTCACTGTTGTTACCCAGGCTGGAGTGCAATGGCGTGATCTTGGCCCACTGCAACCTCCACCTCCTGGGTTCAGGCAATTCTCCTGCCTCAACCTCCTGAGTAGCTGGGATTACAGGCACGCGCCACCATGCCCAGCTAATGTTTTGTATTTTTAGTAGAGACAGGGTTTCACCATGTTGACCAGGATGGTCTCAATCTCTTGACCTTGTTATCCACCCGCCTCGGCCTCCCAAAGTGCTGGGATTACAGGCTTGAGCCACCGCGCCCGGCTCTACATTTCTTAAAGAATGTTATTCCTGTTTCCAAAGGCAGCGTCTTTTGTCCCGATATTACTGGGCCTTGTGGGAAGGTAATTTGACTTTCCTCTTAGGGATGGGAGGTACTAGGGAAAGCAAGGGTAGTGATTTCTTCTTTCTTCTGAAAAATGGGGTCAGTCTCCCTTTATTTGCACAGGATTGTAAAAAGTAAGTAGCTGATAATGAAAATTAGGACTTCTTCATTGTGAGAGATTTTCTTTGCAGTATACACTTATTTTACTATCTGTTGTTTGTGTTTATACAGATAAACATGATGCTGGCAAATCTGTACAAGAAGGCTGGTCAGGAGCGCCCTTCAGTCACCAGCTATAAGGAGGTGCTGAGGCAGTGCCCGTTAGCCCTTGATGCCATTCTAGGTAGAGATATTTTCTGCCTGTTTTCATGGCATGTTTACTGTCAAAGATAGTAGTTCTCAAAGTTGACCGTACATTAGAATAACTTTATTTTTTTTTATTTTATTTTTCTTTTTTTTGGAGACGGAGTTTCTCTCTTGTTACCCAGGCTGGAGTGCAATGGCGCAATCTTGGCTCACTGCAACCTCCGCCTCCTGGGTTCAAGCAATTCTCCTGCCTCAGCCTCCTGAGTAGCTGGGATTACAGGCACACGCCACCATGCCCAGCTAATTTTTTGTAGTTTTAGTAGAGACGGGGTTTCACCATGTTGACCAGGATGGTCTCGATCTCTTGACCTCGTGATCCACCCACCTCGGCCTCCCAAAGTGCTGGGATTACAAGCGTGAGCCACTGCGCCGGGCTAGAATAACTTTATTTTTTAAAGTTCCCCTCCAGAAAGTGATTTAATAGGGTTTCTACTGTCACATATTCAATCAAGAAATAACCTGCAGTCATAGCACTTTGGGAGGCTGAGGTGGGTGATTGACTGAGCTCAGGTGTTTGAGACCCTCTCTCTACTAAAGTACAAAAATTAGCCGGGCATAGTGGGGTTCACCTGTAGTCCAGCTACTTGGGAGGCTGAGGCATGAGTATCACTGGAACCCTGGAGGCAGAGGCTGCAGTGAGCTGAGATCATGCCACTGCATTCCAGCCTGAGGGGACACAAGCGAGACTCTATCCCAAAAAGAAAAGAAACACTAAATGCTGGTTTTTCTGTTATGCATCTCACTTAGAATAGGGAAGCAGTTGCCATTTAGCCGAGGGAAAATGTAGTCCATTGCTCCTTGCATGTGGAAGAGAGAGATTGTGCCTTACCTTCTTTCTCCTGCTTTCTGTTGGTTTAGGCTTGCTGTCCCTTTCTGTAAAAGGGGCAGAGGTGGCATCCATGACAATGAATGTGATCCAAACCGTGCCTAACTTGGACTGGCTCTCTGTGTGGATAAAAGCATATGCTTTTGTGCATACCGGTGACAACTCAAGAGCAATCAATACCATCTGGTGAGAGCCACAAAGTTAATTCAGTGTTTTTGAGGCCCTGTCCTTGTCTAGAAGTCTGATGTATCTGAAGGAGCAAAAAGAAAAATGAGATGCTTCGCTCTTGTTGCTGCAACCAGTCTCTGGGCTATGTTAGTCTTTTATACTGAATGGTCCCAAATGTAATCATGTTAGCATGTCTGTTGGGGACCAGTAAAAATGTGAATCTGACTGAGTTTAGTTCTGCACTTGCACAGGTAGAACTTGCAAAGCAAAGCAGGCTACCTTGGTGTATCATTCTTTTTTTTTTTTTTTTTTTTTTTTTTGAGACAAGATCTCTCTCTCTCTCTCTCTCTCTCTCTCTCTCTCACCCAGGCTGGAGTGCAGTGGTGCAGTCACAGCTCAGTGTACCCTTGACATGTTGATCTTCTGGGCTCAAACCATCCTCCTGCTCAGCCTCCTGAGTAGCTGGGACTATGGGCGCATGCCACCACACCCAGCTAATTTTTGTATTTTTTTATAGAGATGGGGTTTCACCATGTTGCCTAAGCTGGTCTTGAATTCCTGGGCTCAAGTGATCCTTCCACCTGGGCCTCCCAAAATGCTGGGATTGTAGGCATGAACCGCCACGCCTGGCTTTACTGTGTCATTCTTTAACCTGGAAGAAAATCATTTTGTACTCCCCAGAAGCATAGTTTATTGCAGCATCTAACTTGACTTGCCTTCTTAGGACTGGGGATTTTCTTTCTGTTCAGCGAAAGTTCAAGAACAAGAAGAGGCTTTGGTTTTTGTTATGCAAAGTCATTTAGTTGAGTAATAAGTAGCGGTCAGGTGTGAATGACATTACCGTTAACACCATGTAGTGTATGTTGTGTTCTGAAGAACTGCAACGGAAAGTTACTTGTTGGTACTGAGTTCTGCTTTATTCTGTTTTTGCTATCCTGTCCTATATAACTTTTTTTAAAGTTATAAGCTTAAAGTTTTTATTAAAAAGAATTTTATATTTGCACAAAATAGTATCTGAATGACCAATCATCCAGATTCAACAACTAAGAGGATTTATAATAGATTTAAAGGTTCAGTGTTTAATAAATATCTTAAAGTTCACTAGAGAAAAAGTCCTTATTGCGAGATAACGTGGACCTACTGGGAAGCTTAGCAGATCTGTACTTCAGAGCTGGAGACAATAAAAACTCTGTCCTCAAGTTTGAACAGGCACAGATGTTGGATCCTTATCTGATAAAAGGTAAGTAATTCTTGGGACAGGAAAACAGTGGCTGTTGCGGGGTGGGAGGGATTGGAGATAATAGGGAGAAAATGCAGCATGAATTCTTGATACTAAGTTTCATAGACATAGGTTATAAAACTTATTACAGTAGTCTTTTACTTTTTTTAGGTCTTGACACATGTCTCTAACACTTAGGTAATTCCATTTGAGCAGTTATTTGTGCTTGAATTCAAGTGTCTTCTCCCCACAGATCATTATTTGGCTTTTTTTCTTTTGAGGGGGTCATAGCTCCTCCTATGACTTATAAATTTATGATGTGCTTGACTGAGAATTTGGATGGCATCCCTAAAACCATAATATCCTTTTAGGGAATTTTGTTTTACCCTGTCCTTAGTATAATTAAAAAGGAATAAGTGTACAGATGTTCAAAAAAGGGATAAGGAGTATTTAGGCAGTAATTAGTAGTGAACAGCAGAAACATCATTTATTTTAAAGAAGTTAGCAGGTGAAGGGTAACCTTCACAGGGACCTCCAAGAGATGGCAGTTGGGACACTGGCAGTGAGTGCTCAGGAATAGTGGGAGATAAAGTCAGATAGATGGGCTATCTATTTGTAAAGGCCAAAAAAAGGCCATCAGAAAAATAGGGCCTTGTAACAATAAACAGTCTTGTGAGCTTCTTAACCCAGGGGAATGGTGGAGCTGGAAGGAGCCATCCCAAGCATTTAGATGAGGAAGCAGATCTAGAAATGGATTTGTTTGCACAAGATTTCCCTCTTCCCTAGTGCTTATTCCTCTTCTCCAAGCTGCCTGCATCCGTGATGAAAATGGTGTTTTAGAAATACCAGCCTGGCAGCAGCTGGCGACTTAAATGAGAATGGCAGCTTGAAATCTCAGATCCAGGCCCAGGGGCCAGCAGGAGCATTGCAGTAGTCTTGGTTTGAGAGGAATTTTCATGCGAATCTGAAGGAATAGCAAGGGATGGAAGAGAATTTTGGCAAGAGATGCGTGACTGAGCATAGGGCCTTTTTTTTTTTTTTTTTTAAAGAGATGGGGTTTCACCGTGTTGGCCAAGCTGGTCTCAAACCTCGGCCTTCCAAAGTGCTGGGATTACAGGCGTGAGCCACCACGCCCAGCCTACATAGGGCCCTTTTTATAGAATGTGGGTAAGAATAAAGTGGGGGCTGGGGAGAAGCAGTGAGGTGGTTTTTTTTTTTTGAGATGGAGTTTCATTCTTGTTACCCAGGTGGGAGTGCAATGGCACAGTCCCAGCTCACTGCAAACTCTGCCTCCTGGGTTCAAGTGACTCCCCCACCTCAGCCTCCCAAGTAGCTGGGATTACAGGCGCTCACCACCATACCTGACTAATTTTTGTATTTTTTAGAAGAGACGGGGTTTCTCCGTGTTAGCTAGGCTGGTCCGGAACTCCTGACCTTAGGTGATCCGCCCACCTCAGCCTCTATAAGTGTTGGGATGACAGATGTAAACCACCGTGCCCAGCCTGATCTTTAATGAGCTGCATTCTGGATAGCACTACAAGCTGTTTTCTGGAGCAGGCCAACTTTTTCTGAGACTGTTCGGCTTTTCAGCAGCATACTAAGTGTGTATTTCTGATGGCCTCGAGCTCTTGGAAGAGAGACCTTGATGCCTTTTTTGGGCCTTTTCTGGTTGGATTCAGGTAGCTGTATATCATGCCATGGGATAGAGGGACAAATAGTTCCTGAAAATTGGAGGCTTTCAAATTGCGAGGTAGGTTGTTCTGCTCCTTTGGTTTTTGTTTTTGTTGTTTGAGACAGGGTGTCGTTCCATCACTTAGGCTGGAGTGGCACAAACCACTTGCTAAAGCCTTGACCTCCTGGGCTCAAGCAATCCTCCTGCCTTAGCCTCTTGAATAGCCGGAACCATAGGCGTGTGCCACTGTGCTTGGCTAATTTTTAAAAATTTTTTGTAGAGACAGTGTCTCACCATATTGCCCAGGCTGGTCTTGAACTCTTGGGCCCAGGTGATCCTCCTGCCTCTGCCATCCAACGTGCCAGGATTACAGGTGTGAGCCACCATGCCCAGCTGTGTTTTGCTTTTTAATAGTCACTTTGGAAAAAGAAAAAAAAAATAGTATCACATGACACTGGAGAAAAAAAAAATTAGTCACTTTGTAGGAAACTGGAAATAGTAGTGGGAGGAGCCTGTGATAGTGGAAAGGGCTTAGCCCCTGTGGGAGCTGGGGCCTCAGCATGGGGTCTGATGTTGGGTGCTACTCCTATGTAGGACTCCTGCTGCTCTGCTTAAAACACCTCTTACTGTGTCCTTCCTTTCTAGGAATGGATGTATATGGCTACCTCTTGGCACGAGAAGGGCGGCTAGAAGATGTGGAGAACCTTGGATGCCGCCTTTTCAATATCTCTGATCAGCATGCAGAACCATGGGTGGTCTCTGGGTATGCATTCCCCTTTCTCCCTGGTTGTCAGTAGATTAAGAGAAGTGCTTCCTCCTGAAGAGAATATAAGTTGAAAGCACAGGTTTAAGAGATAATCATCTGACCTGGCACGATGGCTCATGCCTGTAATCCCAGCACTTTGGGAGGCTGAGACAGGTGGATCACTTCTGAGACCAGCCTGACCATCGTGGTGAAACTCCCATTTCTACTAAAAATACAAAAATTAGCCAGGCATGGTGGCACACCCCTGTAATCCCTGCTACTAGTGAGGCTGAGACGGGAGAATCGCTTCAAGCTGGGAGGCGGAGGTTGCAGTGAGCCAAGATCGAGCCACTGCACTCCATGTGGGTGGCAGAGTGAGACTTTTTCTCAAAAATAATAAAATAAAAAGAGGTAATTACTTGAGTTCAGGAGTTTGAGACCAGCCTGGGCAACGTAGCAAGATTCTGTCTTTATGTATTTATATATATGTTATACATTTATATTATATATATATATAATATACATATATATGTTTGTTTTTTAAAAGGATAATCAGTCCTGGATTGAAATCATGATTTATGACTCTGGATGCATTATTTACCTATCTAGGTCTATATTCTCATTTGGAAAATTGGCTAATAACTTCTCCTTCTAGGGTTAAGCATTAATTGAGTCGGTGAATGTATTGTGCTTAGTACTGGGCCATCAGTGATAGGACCAGAAGATGCTCCTTTGTTACTAACCTGGCTTTACAAATTCTCCAAATGCCTCTCTGCTAATAACTAGTATCCGGATTGTAGGTTCTTTTCCATAATTTTGCCCTTCCATATTAAGATTTCCCCCTAAAAATAAATATTTAGTGGATTTTTTTGTTTTGCTTTTCCATTAATAGCTTAGGTTAAAACTGCAAGTGTGGGGCTGGGCTCAGTGACTTACGCCTGTAATCGCAGCACTTTGGGAGGTTGAGGTGGGCAGATCATGAGGTAAGGGGTTCCAGAACAGCCTGGCCAACATGGTGAAACCCTGTCTTCACTAAAGATACAAAAAATTAGCCAGGCTTGGTGGCAGGTGCCTGTAGTCCCAGCTACTTGGGAGGCTGAGGCAGGAGAATCACTTGAACCTGGGAGGTGGAGGTTGCAGTGAACTGAGATCGTGCCATTGCACTCCAGCCTGGGTGACAGGGTGAGACTGTCTGAAAACAAACAAACAAAAACCATGGTAAATTTGGGTTTGGAATAAGGATTATGCACAGGACCTTCAGTATGATTTTTGGATGAAGTTTCTTTGTAGTCCTTTCTTGGATAACCTCTGGGTTTTGTTTTTGTTTCTCCAGTTGTCACAGCTTCTATAGCAAACGCTACTCCCGGGCCCTCTATTTGGGAGCCAAGGCCATTCAGCTGAACAGTAACAGTGTTCAAGCTTTGCTACTTAAGGGAGCAGCACTTAGGAACATGGGCAGAGTCCAGGAAGCAATAATCCATTTTCGAGAGGCCATACGGCTTGCACCTTGTCGCTTAGATTGTTATGAAGGTAAGATAGAAAATAAAGGTGAATGGTGTACATCTGTGGGTGTGGCAACAGCCCTCAGGTGGAAGGTTTCATTAGGCCAGCACTTCCCAAACTCTGTTAGAAGCATCTGGTGAAGCTTTTCAAAATCCTGATGTTGGGTATCTCCAGTGTAGATGGAAATATATGGGGTTGGGAATAGACATTGATATTTCTGAAGATACCCTGGTATTAGCAATGTTCAGACAAGTTTGGGAACCACTGCACTGGGCATTTTACATTTATTTAGGGCTTTCACTGGATTTGTCACCCATACTTTCAGAATCAGTTTTTTCTCATTTTTTTTTTCTTCTGGTTTTTGGCGAGATGATAGTTGGGATGGGCTTGTTGTTTTTGTCCTCCCGCCCCCGCCCATTGTGGCATACTCCTTAATGTGAATCTCTGTCTGTGAGGCACCATGCTAGATCACTTAGTTTACCTATTTTTATTATTTTTATTTTTATCTGAGATAGAGTCTTATCTGTCGCCCAGGCTGGAGTACAGTGGAGCAGTCTCAGCTCACTGCAACCTCCGCCTCCCGGGTTTAAACGATTCTTCTGCCTCAGCCTCCCACGTAGCTGGGATTACAGGCGTGTGCCACCATGCCCAGCTAATTTTTGCATTTTTAGTAAAGACGAGGTTTTGCCATGTTGGCCAGGCTGGTCTCGAACTTCTGGCCTCAAGTGATCCACCTACCTCAGCCTCCTAAAGTGCTGATATTACAGGCATGAGACATTGTGCATGCCCTGTTATGCCTATTCTTTTTTGTGGCCATCTTACCTTAGGCCAGAGATAGTACTCATAGGAAAACTCCACGTCCATATGATAGTGTTGGCTGTGGAAATGGGTCTGTTCATTGTGACTTCCAGAGTGGGCACAGTTGGGGCCCAACTGTTTTGTTATGTAATAGTTTAAGTTCATGTGAACTGACCCCTAGGAGTTCAAAGGAGCTATGCCAGCTTCAGCAACGTTTGGTGACTCAGTCACAGACATTAAAATAGATCTTACAAGATGCAGTTCCTCCAAAACATATTTTTGTAAGCATTTAAAAATAAACCCAGGAGTCTAGGAGTGATTTGCTCTTAACAGGAAGATGAGTTCAAATTTGAGAAATAAAATTTGGAAGTTGGGAGGGAGAACGAATCTGCTTATATAGCCAGAGAGCTATGCCTCTGATGGATGTGTTGGAGTCTCGCTCTTGTTACCCAGGCTGGAGTGCAATGGCGCGATCTCGGCTCACCGCAACCTCCGCCTCCTGGGTTCAGGCAATTCTCCTGCCTCAGCCTCCTGAGTAGCTGGGATTACAGGCATGCACCGCCATGCCCAGCTGATTTTTGTATTTTTAGTAGAGACGAGGTTTCACCATGTTGACCAGGATGGTCTCGATCTCTTGACCTCGTGATCCACCCGCCTCGGCCTCCCAAAGTGCTGGGATTACAGGCTTGAGCCACCGTGCCTGGCCCTGTCTATTCTTAAAGAAGCTCCAGCAAACCAAAGCTCTGGTTTCAGATTAACTTCTTCATCCTGAAAGTGTAACTTCTCTTTCTTTCCAGCTGTTATTATGCTAATTCCATTGTACTGCATGCTTATTTCACTGGAGCTCAGGGATGCAGTTGAATAACACTTCCTATAATATCTGGACACCAGATGTTTCCCAGTTGGCCAGTGAGGCTTCTCAAGCTGCCATTTGGAGATTTGGCTCAGGGCAACCCCAGTTACACCCTTTAATGTTTCTTAGAGTTCCCATTTGGAGCTTCCTTTGCTGGTAGAGGTTTAGGTTAGGCAAGTGCATTATGTTTTCTTCTGAAGTGCCAGTGGAGCTTTAGCAGGGAAGTAAAACTATTCAATAAGTAATTGCAAACAACTGTATTTGGAATCCAACATATTGCCTTTAAGAGTTAGGTAATTGGCTGAGTGCGGTGGCTCACGCCTGTAATCCCAGCACATTGGAAGGCCGAGATGGCCAGATCACCTGAGGTCAGGAGTTTGAGACCAGCCTGGCCAACATGGTGAAACACCATCTCTACTAAAAATAGAAAAAAAAAAAATTAGCCAGGCATGGTGGCACACACCTGTAGTCCCAGCTACTCAAGAGGCTGAGGCAGGAGAATCACTTGAACCCAGGAGATGTAGGTTGCATGAAGCCGAGACGTCACCACTGCAATCCAGCCTGGGTGACAGAGCAAGACTCCGTTTCCAAAAAAAAAAAAGTTAGGTAATTTCTGGTTAAGTAACCATAGTGTGTGGAAGGGTGTGCATGAATGTTATAAATGCTGCTAGGGTGGAGGAGTATGCAGAGAAAATCTGCCAAGGATTGTGTGGGTTTGGGGTTTAAGCTGTTTTTCTGTTTTGATGAGCACTTTGTGCCAAAAAGTTATTCCTCTGTTCTCCTCAACTTCTTGGCATGAAGAGTTGAGAGTTGACTTCTCAAGGTGGCCCCATAGGGCGTCTTGCTGTGGATATGGAAAGAAGCAAGGGCTGCCAGTGACAGTCTGTTACATCTGATAAAGTACTGTTCATCTAGTTTAGGGAAGCCCTCAGCAAGTGCCTTTTGAGACAGCTGTTATGTTTCAAATGAAAGAGTCTTTCTTAGTAGATTGCTTGACAATAAGTCCTGTATTTTGTCAAACTGGACATTCAGTTGAAGACTCTGGGAACCAGGTCAGGTGTGGTGGCTCACGCCTGTAATCCTAGCACTTTGGGAGGCCAAGGTGGGTGAATAACCTGAGGTCAGCAGTTCGAGACCAGCCTGATCAACATGGAGAAACCTCATCTCTACTAAAAGTAAAAAATTAGCCTGGTGTGATGGTGCATGCCTGTAATACCAGCCACTAGGGAGGCTAAGGCAGGAGAATCACTTGAACCTGGGAGGCAGAGGTTGCGGTGAGCCGAGATCATGCCATTGCACTCCAGCCTGGGCAACAAGAGTGAAACTACGTCTCAAAAAAAAAAAAAAAAAGAAAAATTAAAATTAGGCCAGGCATGGTGTATTCCCAGCACTTTGAGAGGCTGAGGCGGGTGGATCATGAGATCAAGAGATCGAGACCATCCTGGTCAACATGGTGAAACCCCGTCTCTACTAAAAATAGAAAAATTGCCGGTGCGGTGGTGCGTGTCTGTAGTCCCAGCTATTCGGGAGGCTGAGGCTGGAGGATCTCTTGAGTCCAGCAGCTCTGGGCTGTAGTGTGCTATGCCGATCGGGTGTCTGCACTAAGTTCGGCATCAATATGGTGACCTCCCGGGAGCAGGTTGCCTAAGGAGGAGTGAACCGGCCCAAGTCGGAAATGGAACAGGTCAAAACTCCCGTGCTGATCAGTAGTGGGATCGCGCCTGTGAATAGCCACTGCACTCCAGCCTGAGCAACATAGCAAGACCCTGTCTCTAAAAAAAGAAAAATTAGCCAGCCATGGTGGCCTGTGCCTGTAATCCCAGCTACTCAGGAGGCTGAGGCAGGAGAATCGCTTGAACCTGGGAGGTAGAGGTTGTAGTGAGCCAAGGTCACGCCACTGCACTTCAGCCTGACGACAGAGCAAGACTCCGTCTTAAAATAAAAATAAAAAAAGATTCTAGGAGACTTCCCTCTTAAACCTAGGCCTACAGGTGACTGAATGCAGCTGGAGAATAACAGCTTGTTAAGAGGCAGCAAAACTTTAGGTTTTGTTGGAAACATCATCTCTCACTAATTTCTTGGCCATATGACAGACTAAACATTAGCATCGCATTTGTTCTTCCAGGGTCAGATGGGGTGCTCACATGCTGTGAGTTCCTTACACGTGCTTGTTTCCTTCCCTAAACTGAAGGTGCCTTTGAAGGCAGTCTTTTTCCACAACCATCAAGTGCTCTGGAATAGCACTTCTTAGCTATTCTATCAACACACTTGCCAGTATGATCTCACCATCAGTTTCCCCGGCCTGCCCTTCGAAGCTTTGAACGTTAGCAATTTGGACAGCTGTCAGAGTGGAAGCATGGGTTGGAATGGTAATGGCATTGAATGTCTTCATGTGTTTTACTTTTTTCAGGTCTCATAGAATGTTACTTAGCCTCCAACAGTATTCGAGAAGCAATGGTAATGGCTAACAACGTTTACAAAACTCTGGGAGCAAATGCACAGACCCTTACCCTTTTAGCCACTGTTTGTCTTGAAGACCCAGTGACACAGGAGAAAGCCAAAACATTATTAGATAAAGCCCTGACCCAAAGGCCAGATTACATTAAGGCTGTGGTGAAAAAAGCAGAACTACTTAGTAAGTGTCTTATTTTCTGCCCTGTTCATCATTAATTTTAATAAAACCTGACCTCAGTTGGTCACCCTTGTCCCAGCTAGTTACAGATGACCAGACAGGTGTGGGCCTTTTGCAGCAGGTTTGAGCCTGCTTGGATTCGTTTATATTTAGTCCAACCAAATGTAGCTGGCTTAGACCTGCTTGGCTTGGCTTAAACCACCTATTAGTTGGTATCTGTTCAGCTCACTATTATCTGGTTTGATTGTCCTGAATTAGTTTGAGCTGAATATAACTAACTGGTTTTAGCCACTTTGAACTGTTCAGAGCCATCTGGATTATTTTGTGACTTCCCTTTTAGCCCTGTTTTTTTTTTCAGTCCTAATTTATGATGAACTCATAATTTGGTTCATCAAATTTGGGTTAATTGGCAAATAAAATGCAGTTTGGCTTTTTAATGTTAAGAGCCCATTTAAAACATTATAATTCAAACTGCGAATTTCTTAATCGAATAGGATCTCAGGTGTGCTTGCCCCTCACTTTGTGTTTCACCAGTATTCTCTTGAGGATGTCTGCAAAGAGATTGTCAGAATGATAGTTGTGGTTTTTTGTACATGACTTCAGATGAGAATGTATTTTTAAAATGTTCACGTAGGACAGTGAGGGTCTTTTTTATCCCCCCAGGTAGAGAACAGAAATACGAAGATGGAATTGCTTTGCTGAGGAACGCACTGGCTAATCAGAGCGACTGTGTCCTGCATCGGATCCTAGGAGATTTCCTTGTAGCTGTCAATGAGTATCAGGAGGCAATGGACCAGTATAGTATAGCACTAAGGTAGGCACTAGCCTCCCGTGGGGGAAGGCCACTGAGGAGGGTAGAGGAGGCAGTGAGCTGTGTCACAGGAGTTATGGAAACACATGCACAGTTTGTGTCTGTGGTTGAAAGCAGAATAATAATAGTAATGGTAGCAGAGTTATTTGTGAATTCATGACTTCTAAAAATTTTTTCTTAAAATATATTAACAACATTAAGGAACTGTTTCACTCATAACCACCATCCCACACCACTATAACATCTGTGTTCATTTGTATAGATCATCTTCTGTCCTTGCCCACACACATACGTATTTTTATAGGGTTGTACCTAGTATATATTTTATATTCTTCTTTTTCAAGTCAAAGTATTGTAAGTACTTTGCCATGTTTCTATCTACTGTAGTAGTTAAGAACTTGAGGTCTGAAGTTTTGAATACTACTTTCACCACCTGTGATCTTGGGCAAGTTACTAACACATTTCCTTGTCTATATCTATCTACCTATTAGACATTAAATGATTGAATGAGGGTTAAATGATTATAACATGTAAAGCTCTTAGCCCTGTGCCTGGTACATAGTAAATACTAAATAAATAGTGGTATTCTTACTGTTTAATACAGAAGTGGTTTATTTGAGGGTTGTCCGTGTGTGTGTAAGGTTATATGGTGAGGGGCTGTCTTTAATAGAGTCTGATCACATTCAGTTGTTCAGCACACAGTTGAGCACCACTAATGTGCTTATCATCTCAGTGACCACTGGAGATGCTACGTTTTGGGAGCTGTCAGTCTCAGACATGCAGACTTACCATACCACATGCTAAGGGCTTTCACAGCAGTCTGTAGGAGGGAAGGTGCGAGTCCAGAGGGCAGGAACCATGGGTATGCGTGAGAGCTTCAGAGTATGGGTGTGGAAGGGTTCAGCAACTAGCAGACCAGGAGATATTACACATCAGTCCGCATTTATGTTGGTAGAAACAGAATGCCAACGTGGGTTTTAGCTGCTTTTTAGAAGCCCAGAAGCAAGTAAGAAAATAAAATACCAGACTTCCATTAGAGATGGAGTTTACTAGGGATGGGACACCTGCTAGCTTGGGCGATGGTCACCAAGGCAAGATGAAAGATTGCTTAGGAGGCAAATAAATGAATGTTCTAGAGGCTCTGAACTTTGGGTGTGGGGTTGGCACATTTACTGACTCCCAGCTACTAAATGTGAATGCTCGGGTAGGGGTAGCCTTGGGTCCTGGGGTCTAACCTAGGTGTTTACAAATCTGTTCCATGGTACAGCATGATGTTTTTGGTTGGCTCCTGAAATGCTGATATATTTAATTACATCATAAGAACATGGAACACCTCTACTCAGAGAAATTCCTACTTTTTTGTAACCCCATAGCTCAAAAACCCAACTTTCTGGGAATTACATTTGAATTTACCTGTTAATGTTTGTTTACCACTTTTTCATTTGTGTTATCTAGTAGCCTCTAGCAGAATGCTAGGGGTAATAGGTATGAAAAAATTTAAGAAATTTGTAGAGAAAAACTCAAATTGAGAACTCTAAAAATTAGGAAAAGACTCCTTTTTGCACTTTTGGTGGTAGACCCCGTCAACCCAGCCTCGGAAGCCTGAGTTGTTTGGAGAGGCCAGGCTTTAGCACTTTCTCTGGGACTGTGTGGTCATTTCACTGCTGGGCCAGGGAGATGACGAATCAGCCAGCAAGAGCAAGGCAGAGATTCAGGCCTCTCCTTTGTTTTGTTGTCCCCTAGTTTGGACCCCAATGACCAGAAGTCTCTAGAGGGGATGCAGAAGATGGAGAAGGAGGAGAGTCCCACGGATGCCACTCAGGAGGAGGATGTGGACGACATGGAAGGGAGTGGGGAAGAAGGGGACCTGGAGGGCAGCGACAGTGAGGCGGCCCAGTGGGCTGACCAGGAGCAGTGGTTCGGCATGCAGTGAGGGGGCGGCAGCTCCGTGGCCGCACTGGCCTGCCCTGCTCTGAGCACTTCCGTGGACTGAAGGAACCGTAGGAGCCTGCTCTCAGGAGGACAATGATTCAGCATGTGATTGCAGCAGGGGTCTCTGTCCCCTTGCTCCTGATTCCTAGTTGTGACTTCATTTCTAAAACAGAGCCTGACCAACCTTCCATGTATCTCCATCCTCCCCTGCTCCGGCCAGGGAGGACTGAGGGAGTGCCCCGAGACACACACACATGTTGGGGCTTCTGGGCCAAGAGTACTTTTTATATAACTAATTTCTAAACCCAAAAACTCAAGGAATAGACAGTGTTCTGTCAGTGATGTGGATGGGTTTGAAGGAGTGACCCACCATCCCAGCACGATAGTGTCACCTCCCAAGTCAGACGGCAGCACGATCTGGCCCTAGAGGGCTTCCTGTTCCCAGAAGTCACTGTCCTGGGCTATCCAGACATCCCTAGTAATCTTGCTTCCTTCTGCAATGTTAGTAATGCCTTAAGCTGACAGTTGCCATTTTGCAGAACAGTTTTCCTCTTTGCTTAGCTGGTAACTTGCCTCTGAGCCTGGGCTGATGTGAGAAACAGGTGTGAGAGCATGAACAGAGGTGCACCTGGAGCAGTTCCCTAATAAAACTGGTTTGTACAGTCACAGTGTTGGGGTGATCAGAATGGAAGCCCTTTTTAAAATAGACTCTTAGTTTTTTTTGTCTCTTACTCAGAATGCATTGATTCAGCCCCAGAAGTATTTGCCAAAAATAGACTTTCTTCCCCTAGTGTTGGGAGCCAGGAGGGTTGGAAAGCTCAGGAACTCTGAGCTGGTTCATCTGTTGTATATTGGGTAGGTAAATTTCCCTGGAGCCTGAGATTTGACCAGATTTCAGCTAAGTCTGCCTGGCTCTTCTGCTGCAGCTGTGAGATTGGGGTCTGGTTCCAGCAGTTTGTCACTGGTCAGCCTGAGTGTCACACCCTGAGCTCTGGGGCTGGGAGTTTCTTCCCCCACGCCCTCCCTTGTGTCTTAAGTTTCGATGGCTCTGAGTATACAATTAATCGGAGGTGGGGGGTGGGTGTCACAGCTAATCCCAAATTCAAAAATTAGTCCAAGGTGCTACAAAATATGAATTTGATGTCAATAGAAGGTCGAATCACAAAATGTAAAAACTGTAAGTCGTTAATGAGCTTAGAACATCTGATAATTGCAATTTAAAATAGGCAAAAAGTTTCTGTGTTTCAGTCTGAGACCCAAAGACTCTGCAACATCACTTGATCTGAGCTGCTTCTAAAGAGACATGCAAGGCCAGATGTGCTCACACTTGTAATCCCAGCACTTTGGGAGGCCAAGGCGGGTGGGTCACTTGAGGCCAGGAGTTTGAGACCAGCCTGGCCAACATGGTGAAACCCTGTCTCTACTAAAAATACAAAAATTAGCTGGGCATGGTGGCATGTACCTGTAATCCTGGCTACTCAGGCAGCTGGGCAGGAGAATGGCTTGAACTGGGACCCGGGAGGTGGAGGTTGCAGTGAGCCAAGATAGCACCACTGCACTCCAGCCTGGGCAACAGAGCAAGACTCCATCTCAAAAACAAATTAGCCAGGCATGGTGGTGCACACCAGTAATCTCGGCAACTCAACACTTGGGAGGCTAAGGCAGGAAAATCACCTGAACCCAGGAGGTGGAGGTTTGCAGTGAGCCCAGGATCGTGCCCCTGAGCAACAGAGACAGTGTTTCAAAAAAAAAAAAAGCCCCTGCAGACAGTTGGGGTCACACTAGGTGAGTGTATGACCAGAAGAAGCTGCCTGCCCCTTGGGCTAGGCATAGTCTCCTGGATGCAGCCTTACCTCATGGACTTCTTCAGCTCCATGACCTGTCAGTACTGTAATGAGAGAGGAGAAGTGAAGCCTCTTTGCCTTTCCCCTGACTCCAGGAGGAAGCCCAGCCCCACCATGCAATCTCGTCTCTGCATGGCAGGCCCACTGCCGCACTCACATACCCCTGGATCAGGGTCCCAGAGCCCAGGTCCCATGTATCGCCCTCAACTGGTGCCCTCCCGCCTTCCCCTTCCATGGCATGCGCCTCAGCCCTGCTGAGAGCCTCTGTGTACTCCAGGCTCCTCCAGCCCAGCAGCTCCCAGGATGTATCCTCGCTCCCTGCAGCCTGCACCTCCAGCCCCAAGGTAACAGGTTGGAAGAGGCAGCTGAAGCTGTGAAACCACCTCACACGGGATCGAGAAAACACTTGGTCCATATCAAAGAATGGTGCTCAGAGGGTGCTGAAGCTGTCGCTTGGCACTGCCACTGTCACTTTCTCACAAACCCAAAACCTCAAGGGCAGGGAGCTCCAGGAGGCAGGGACAGAACCAGGCTGCTCAGCCCTGTGGCTGTCCTACTGAGCCACCTGCCAGGAGACCAGGCACGTGACCAAGGACAGCCCCCTAATGCCCAGTCACTACAAGTTCCTTCTGGGCTCTGGAGTCCCATACAGCCAGTATGGGGGTGTTTTAACTGAGTCATTTCTCCGCCTTCCAGATTGTTAAGAGACCACCTGGGTCTGAAAAGCCTCCCCTCCCCCTCAGAACCCGTGGGCTGTGAGGGCAGTTAGCTGTGTAGCCCCTGCTGCCTCCCAGGATGAGGACTAAATGAGCCTGTGCAGCATTAAGCATCTATTGTGACACCCTCACAGAGGGAGTGCCAGCTGGCCAGGCTTCCCTGAGGAGCTGGGAGTGGTGCTGTCCTGGAATCCCTGGAGGACCCTCAGCCGAGCAGGGAGGCAGGCTCCAGAGTCAGGGTGAGCCCTGCCCTTCAGCAGGACCTCCCATTTTTCATTTCTGAACTGCTGGTCTCCAGGGACCTGGTAGGTATGTCCCTACTCATAGGGCTGATGACAGAAGCTCTCCCTGCAGCCACAGCTTGGGGACCACACTCGTGCCTCTGAATTCCTCAGAATGAGGCTAGCTTTTGCCCAGATCTTCAGTCCCCAGACTTGAGCATCCATTTCAGTGATGCAGGTTCCAGGCCCAGCACCAAACTTTTATTGGAATCCATGGGCCAGGCCCAGCAGTCTGCAGCTTTCACTCCCCACACTGGCTTCCTATTCTATTCAGGTGTTCCCTGGAAGTATTGAGAAACCTGGGAGAGGGGAGCTCAAAGATCCTAGGAGCTGCAGGCCTGACCCCAGAGAGCCCTTGAGGGTTTCCACTCTGCAGCTGCCTGTGGGTGGGAGGAACCTGCCTACAAAGGCCTCACCTGCCGCTTCCTGCCTTCCCAGCCCTTCACTGGCTCACCTGTGGCAGGCCAGGGCCTGCGCAGAGCTGCTTCCCAGAACTCAGTCAAGCTCTCCCGGTGAGCTGCTCTCTGGGCCCTCAGGCCTGCATTCCCCGCTGACGACAGGCAGTGAGTCCAGACTCCACATATACCTCACCAAGGACGGCTGTGGCCAGGTCACCAGGAAGCCCTGCACTGGGAGGGGCTGTTGAGGTAAGTGCCTTACTAAGATTTTCCACTTCCTACAGGAGCCTCCCTGCCCCAGGGCAGCAGGAGGGGCCTCAGCTGCCACCTCTTTTCTTGGGGCACAGTGCAGATCTGCTGCCTAAACGCCTCCAGGCCTGGGTGAACTTAGCACCCCTGCCCCTGCTGCACCTGGGCCACCACTGGCCTGGCCTAGGGTGTTGGGTTGTCCCAGATTGTTGTGAAAGGTCGTTGGCGTCACAGAGCACACGGCACCAGCAAGGTCAGGTACAAGCGAGGAAGCCCATAGTGTGGCCTCTGCAGCAGCCATGAAAAGAAAACATGAATTTTAAAATAACAGAGTGCCCCTGTGCACTGCTGGTAGGAATGTAAGGTGGTGCAGCCACCGTGGAGAACAGTCTGATGATTCAGAAATTCAAACAGTATTACCCTACGATCCAGCGTTTCACCTCTGGGTGTACACCCGAAGAAGTGAGAGCCAAAACTCCTACAGATTACACATCCATGTCCACACAGCACTGTCCACAGTAGCAAAAGGTGGAAACAACTCATGTGTCCTTAGATGAGTAGATAAACCGAGGTGCATCTTTCAGTACAATGAAATAAGAGCCTTGAAAGGGCAAGTGACACATGCTACAACACGGAGGAACTTTTGAGAACATTATTTGTGTGGAAGAAGCCAATTACAAAAGGTCAAATGATGTGTGACTCCATGAATCCGAAGTGCGGCTGGCACAGTCAAATTCATAGAGACAAAGTAGATTAGAGGCTGCCAGGGGCTGCAGGGAAGGAATGAGTTAGTGTCTAATAGGGATATGGTTTCTGCTTAGAATATTTAACAAGCTCTGGATGTGTTGCTGATGGTCGCACATTTTATGTTATATATGTTTTATGACCGAAAAGAAAAAAACAACGAGGCTGGCCAGGGTGGCTCATGCCTGTAATCCCAGCACTTTGGGAGGCCAAGGTGGGTGGATCACGAGGTCAGGAGATCAAGACCAGCCTGAGGAACATGGTGAAACCCCGTCTCTACTAAAAATATAAAAATTAGCCAGGCATGGTAGCATGTGTCTGTAATAAGATACTCAGGAGGCTGAGGCAAAAGAATCACTTGAACCTGGGAAGCAGAGGTTGCAGTGATCCAAGATCGTGCGACTGCACTCCAGCCTGCAATAGAGTGAGACTCCATCTCAAAAAAACAAAAAAGTGAAGAAATGGCCTATAAGCCTGCCATCTAGTTAACCTCAGTGAACACATCTTAATTTATGTGAAATATGGTATGTATTTGTAAAATATATGTGTCATAAAACTATACATGGTTTAAAAAATTCAGGCCAGGTGTAGTGCCTGATGCCTTTAATCCCAGCACTTTGGAAGGCTAAGGTGGACAGTTCACTTGAGCTCAGGAGTTCAAAGCCAGCCTGGGTAACATAGTGAGACCCCATGTCTACAAAAAAAATGTTGTAATTAGCTGGACATTGTGATGTGTCCCTGTGGTCCCAGCTTCAATGCACACGGGAGCTACTCCGGAGGCTGGGATGAGAGGACTGCTTGAACTCAGAAGGTGGAGGTTGCAGTAAGCTGTGGTTGTACCACTGTACTCCAGCCTGGGTGACAGAGTGACACCCTCTCAAAAAAATAAAAATAGAAATTAAACCATGAAAGGCATAAAATTAGAAATACATCTACTTCCCAATCTACAGAATTTATTGTTTCTCCCCAAAATAAGTTTCTCGTTCTACCTTTATAAAAATAATTTTGTGCTTGTCCTTAACTTAAATATCATAAAAAATATTCTGCCAGGTGTGGTGGCTCATGCCTGTAATCCCAGCATTTTGGGAGGCCAATGCAGGTGGATCACCTGAGGTTGGGAGTTTGAGACCACCCTGGCCAACATGGTGAAACCCAACAGGGTGAAACCTGTCTCTACTAAAAATAAAAAAATTAGCCGGGCATGGTCGTGGGCACATGTAGTCCCAGCTATTGGGGAGGGTAGGGTAGGAGAATTGTTTGAACCCAGGAGGTGGAGGTTGCAGTGACCCAAGATAGTGCCACTGCACTCCAGCGGGGGTGACGGAGTGAGACTTCGTATGGGGGAAAAAAAAGAGGCTGTGCTGTGCATAGAGACATTCCAGGCAGCATCAGTGCACCCCATAATCATCAGTGCTGTGGAATCCATTCTGC